CCGCCTTTCTGATTGGTGCTAATGCCTCTGTCCCATTTACTAAGGACTCCTGGGAAGGCATATTTGCCTGTCACATCTTTAAGCATTTCATGACTTGGTCCCATGCAATGACATCATGCTTTGTTTATGCATTTCAAAGGCTTAAACCAGAACAAAGTGATTTTGAAAGTTGGTGGTCTAATCGCTTCTTTTGAGTAAGTGTTCAGTCACCTTGTGTTCGAGGGAAATCCGTGCAATCTTTTAGAAAGGTGGGAGTTTATAGAACTATTTTAGTAGTAGGGCTCCAGAACAAGGTTTAGAAAACCTACTGCAGTAATTATTAATAGCAGCTGTACTTGGATAATGGGATAGTTTATTTCTTTAAACATGTAGCATTTAATCTTTGGATCTTTGAGACTACAGTTCACTAATAGGGTTTGCCAAAGAATTGGTATTAGAAGTCCAACGTCTAATAACTAGTTCAATAGAATAAGGGATGGAAGTCGACACAAAGAATGGTATAAAGATTATGGGTTTAGTTTTTATTCAGTCATTCCATTACAAAACTAAGGAATACACTAGGGAAGACTAAACACACATAGTTGATACTAGTTAAAAATTCCAGCTTGGGGTGCCTAAGATTAGTTGTCCAAGCAGATATTTAACATCTGTCTATTTTGTGTCCCCAACAGTTGTGAAGGAACCAAAAGTTCCTTTAAAGTCTCTTAGAAGAGATCTGGGATGCTTGGCACTTATTTTTCTCCTTAAAAAAGTCCCCTTAGGTATTAAAGGATTGGGTGGCTGAAATTTTCAGCATCAGGCACCCAGGCATTGAAGTTCTTGTCTGGGGTCTCCAAGGAATATTTGAGGTGATTGATCAGATAAATGTATAGACTTGTGACCTTTCTACTTCACATTGGGCAGCTCGCAAACAATACACGATCCTATTTGCTAAATTCTGGTCTCTTCTTCAGGGTTGTGACAATGGAGTTCTATGGAAAGAATGACCTCACTCTAGGAGTCTTTTTAGAACGGTATTGTTTCAGGTGAGATCTGTTCTTTTCACCCTCAAACAGTAAGACAGTTTTTAAGCATGTGTTGATCTTTGTATGGCCAAATCATATTATGTGCATTTTTCAAATGTTCAGGAAGCCATGTATAACCTGTGTCAAAAATGGTTTGCCTGAGGTTAGTCCCTTTCCCTTTTTAAGGGGGAGAATTTCTGTTTTGGTTGATTAATAAACAAGCTTCTTTGCAAGTATATTTCTGTAAAAGCAGTAAGAGTTCTTATGAGCAAAAAATGCTACAAGCCCATCGTCCTACCAACTTGTTCAGTCATTGCTGCATTTTTTTTTTCTTTTTAATTAACAAAGATTGTAATGGCCTCAGATGCCTAAGAGTCCCTCTGTTGGACTTTATTTTTATAGTGCTTGGCACAGTGGCCAGGTTTGAGGTTTGTGGGCTTAAAAGCACTCGGTTGCATTGCTCATGATCTTCTCAGGACACAATTGGTTGCTATGGAGAAGATGGGAATTTTGAGTTGGGAATTTACTCCTGATGTATATTCTTCAGAAATTATGATTCCGTCTCATACAGTCCTTGGAGGAAAAACCTACTACCAAGATGTTGGGAAGTTTCAGGAAGTAAATAACTAATCGTTACCAATTTTGATATAAAATTCTGAAGTATGTTGACTTTAGTTAAATAGACCACCATGTCTGTCTAATGTTTCAGCTGTATGAAGAAATTAACTGCTAAGCTGTTTTGGAAATATCTAGAATTACCTAAGATGTAAACTTATTTATTAGCCTTTTTTGGGAAGGGTAGCATATAAAGCTGAGTGACTTACAATAAGGGACAAAAATTATGCACTTTCCTTGGACCATACTGCTGGATAGATGGTGTGCCTGAGTCCTTGTAGCCAAAGCTTGTTCGGTTCCTTTTGGGGTTTATTTCGGTAAACGGATGGCTATTGCTAGAATGCTACATTACATAAGGAACTCTGTTAAGCTATATTTAAAAAAAAAATCTGCCTCACTAGCATGCTAAGAATGCAACTTGCTTACGATCAACACTCTCTGCCTTAGAAGGATGCACCTGGCTATTTGAGAGGAGAATGGGTAACTTCTATCTTTTGGGGGAAAAAGCAACTGATGTAGGTGGTACATGAATCTGAGATAACATGATGAGAGATTTAAATTTCTTTGAAGCTCATAAATTACCTTTTAGGTGTCTTACTTTAGCAAAACCACTAGTTAGAGCATTAGGGATGAAAGTCTGTGTCTGACAGATGTTTTGTGGCTTACAGGAAATGGGTCTTCATCACACTTTACAGGGGCTTGTAGCCCTCTAAAGCTACTGATAGCTCTTGGTACTCATCCAGCCATAGCTTTGGTTGTACCTAGTCTGGAGACTTTAGTCTCTGCTGTTGCCACCATGATATCTGTCACATGTTAAATCTGTTTTTACTTTTCAGGCTTTCTTTGAGCTTTGGGGTGATAAAGATTAAGAATATAAAGTGCTGCACTTGTGGCTGGTAGACACTTGTGGCTGGTAGAGGGCATTGGTCATTTTGTAATCAGCATTTTTACACTTGTGCACTGCTGCTGCTAGTTTTCTTATGTGAGTACAGGTTATTAGGGCTGTGCAGACCTTCGGCAGAGATTCAGGCCAATTTGGTGGCCAAATCTCCAAATCCGAATTGAGTCGGAGGACCCTTTTAATCTCTCCAAATCAAATTGGAACCCTCCGAATTGACTGGGAAAGGTTCAGCGGTTCCGACAGACACAGCTTCAAATATTTTTTCTACATATCTCTAGGTAGCAGGTGGCTCGTAAATGCTACAGCGCTGAGGCGCATGGAGTGTCCCACAGGAGTGCGGGATGCCCCGCAGTGTGCTCGGCAGCAGACCCGGAAGTGGACCAGAAGCTCTTCTGGTTCACTTTTGGGTCCGCTAGGGAGTGTGCTGGGTGCCCCTCCGCACCCCCCAGCTTGGTGACTGGTGCCTCCTGGGTCTGGGGGGGCACCTGGGGTCTCCCTCAGCTGATCACTGAGGGGGGAGGTATGTGGGGGGGGGCCCCCCTGCATGCTCCCCGGCGGATCCAGAAGTGGGCTGGAAGTACTTCCGGTCCACTTCTGAGTTTGCCGCCAAGCATGTGGAGGCTCCCCCCCCACTCCTGTGGGACGCTTCATCTGCCCCAGCATCGCAGTGTTCATGGGCTGTGCTTGGTACCTCGAGGTATGTAGATAAACTTTTAAAGCTGTCTATGTCCAAATTGCTGAGTCTGTGAATCAGCATCGAATCTTCAGATTCGGATTCAGCCGAATCTAATCGGGGACAGTGATCCGAATCAACGAATCGAATCACTGTCCCTGATTCAGGCTGAATCCGAATTGAATAGGGCCTGTTTCACACACCCCTGCAAGTTATCCCCTGGAAGGCTGTGTCCAACACAATCAAAAACTAAACTAGATTTATGCAGTTAAGAGCTGGCTAAGATCTTTTGTCAAAATGGGAAGTCAGCATATTGAAAAACAACTTTTGAGGTTTCCTGAATATAGATTAAAAAAAAAAAATCTATCATAAGTTACAAGGTTCACCAACTTGGTGTTAAAAACAGCCTTATGACATGCATTGTAATGGCATCTATGGGTGTGCTGAGTACCTGGGGCCACATACAAGTTCCCAGGAACATCAAATGTATGTTTTCTTGCAACTGAGTGTACCCCTGCCCCTTCTTTTCATGAAGGCCTTCCTACCAGTGCCCCAGCATGTTTTGCGAAACACCTATGGTACACCACATTCGTCGCTTCGTCCACGGGCAAGGCTGTGTTCAGATTGTACTGAAAGAGTTGGACTCCCCAGTCCCTGGATACCAGCACACAATCCTTACCTACTCCTGGTGCAGACTGTGCAAGCAGGTAAAAACATGAGAATAAGTCTTTAACACTGTTAGCTGCTACTGCAGACAAATCCCTAGTGTATCAGGTCTTTGCATACCTAGCTGTATTTATGCACATATATACACACAAGTAGTAAACCATAATAAAAATATTTTTTCTTTAGTGTTCAGTTCCCCCCCCCTCTGTTGCCACAACTGAAATGGAATGAACAGCTTGTGATCAGTACAGCTCAAGGCTGTATTTGGCTGCATCATAAGATAAATACTGTAGAATCATGTGCAATAGAAAAAGTGTTTGTTCGTGGTTTGGGGCAAAGGTAATCAAATTTCTCCTGAAAGCGGGGTTGGATGTGGGGTGGGGGGAGAGTTTTAGACGCTTTTGATTGTACCAGACAAGATTGGCTGAGATCTTTGACTTCCATCTCTTTTTGTTGATAGAAAAATTTGACATTTCTGGTCCAATTAAAAATTTCAGATTAAATGAACCAGAGGTGGCTACCTGCAGCAGGTGCATCAAATGACATGGGCAGCCTCTGCTTGTGCCATGCAGCAGATGGGAGGGGACAGGCAACATGAAGGAGATATAGCAGAAAGCAGAGCAGGAGATCGGTTAGGGATCAGAAAGTAAACCAGCAAATCAGGCAGGAGAATGGGATCAGAGTGGTACTTGGGGAGTGTGCAGGGCCAAAAAGGTTGGCCCCACTGATCCGAACAATTCTTGTGTGGTGTCTTACTTTTTTAGATATCCATACTTGGCCTACAACCCTGCACTTGTCAGTATTAAATCCCTTCCTATTCTCATTTGCCCACCCCTGTAACCTGTCCAGGTCCTGCTGTAATCTGTCCTTCCCTTCTAGCATGCCCACCTCGCCCCAAATCTTGGTGTCATCTGTGAATTTAAACAGGCTGCTCTTCACCCCATTGTCCAAGTGACTAATAAAGAAATTGAACAGGGCAGACCCAAGGACCGAGCCCTGGGGGACCCCACTGCCCACTTCCCTCCAGGTCAAAAATGACCCATCCACCATCACTCTGAGTATGACCCCTCAGCCAATTTGCAATCCATCTGACTATGTAGGCATCAGTGCCACAGTCGCCTAGGTTTTTAATAAGAATGAGGTGAGAGACTGTGTTAAAGGCCTTCCTGAAGTCCAGAAAGACTACATCCACGGCGCCACCTGTGTCCAGTGATTTTTTTTTTTGTGACCTGATCGTAGAAGGCAATCAGGTTGGTCTGACAGGACCTGCCCCTAATGAAACCATGCTGGTTGCCCTTGAACATCATCCCCACTGCTGGCCCATCACAGATGTGCTCCTTGATAGTCTTCTCAAAGAGCTTCCCAAGGATTGAAGTAAGACTAACAGACTTATAGTTGCCCAGGTCCTCCCCCTTCCCTTTTTTAAAGATGGGGACCACATTGGCCCTCTTCCAGTTGTCCGGCACCTGGCCAGAGCACCACAAGTGCTTGTAAAGCCATGCCGGGGCCCTGCGATAACCCCTGCCAATTCCCTTAACACCCTGGGGTGAAGAGCATCTGGACCTGCTGATTTGAACATGTCCAGTCGCTCCAGAAGTTCTCTAACCTGATCCTCCCTGACCCTAGGCTTGGCGGAGTTACTTCTGAGTCCGTCCTGAATCTCGGTAGGGGAGTCCTGGTCCCTGCACAAGAAAATAGAGCCAAGAAATTGTTAAAGAGTACTAGTCCTATCACTTGCTGTACATATGTACTGCTGAATTTGATCCAGAAACACGCTAGAAGTGTAGCTTCAAAACACAATTCCTCATGTTAGATTTTTTGTTCAGCACCAGAGTAGCAAATGAACTATGTTTTGTTGTAAAATCCACATGCTGTTTTAACTTTCCTTGTTCTTCTAGCTATAAATACAGCCAGTGTGCATGTACACTTCTGATTCTTGACCACACTTCTGAGTTGCTTTAAGTACTGGTTCACTGCTTGGATTAGGCTTGTCTTAATTTATGTATTTATTCCTTGGATCACTTGCTTGAGATTTATTTAAAAACTCTTGCTTCACATTTCAGGTGACACCAGTTGTCCCACTGTCTAATGATTCTTGGTCTATGTCATTTGCAAAATACCTTGAGTTAAGATTCTATGGGCTCCAGTATACCCGAAGGGCCAATGCAGAGCCTTGTGGTCACTCCATACACCATGACTATCACCAGTATTTTTCCTATAATCAGATGGTGGCGTCTTTCAGGTAAGTTTTTTTCATTTCCAGGAAGATCCTACTCTAACTTTCTTGTTTGCCCTCTCCAGCACCCTTCTCTCTCCTGCTCCCCTCTTCTCCTTCTCCCTCTCCCTCCCCCCCCCCCCCCCCCC